TTGCTCTTCCAGGAAAACAGACTGTCTAGTCCATTGAAATAAATCAAGTCCGGACAGCAAATGAGTGAATCGAATTACCCGGCGTGGGAGGAGAGGCTGAGGGAGATGGGGGAGAAACTTGGGGATTGTATGCGGCGCGATATTCACGAGAGCAGAACAGAGGACGCGGGCTATCGCAAAGACCCCGAAAGAAACACTAGTCCGCATTTGGTAATTTCTCGGTGGTGGTTGTTCCGCTCCGAGCCCCTTCCAGGCACAGCCCTGAGAGAACTATATCGTTCTTACCTACAACATACATAGTCATTCTCTCATCACAACCCAACGAATGGGCCAGCAAGGACGTTCCCACCAAAACGCATAGTCACCACTTCAAAGCCCCTACTACCAACAACCTATAGTAGAGGACAAGATCCCGTGGTGACTTCCAATCCAACCGACGCACCCGCGCCGGCCGTATAGCGTGACGAGCCCTCACTATCTACATAGAGGCTGTATGATGCCGTCCGTCCACGCGTGTCGTCCTAGCAGTTCGCGGATATTACCGCGGCTATAGCTATGTAGGATAAGAGGACCACGACGCGCCTAACGTAGCACGTCACGATAGCGCAGTTCCCATTTACAGACCCTATCATTACTCAGCTACTTCGCACTCCAGGGCTACCAGAATGTTAGTATAGAAACTGCTAGTAATCTACTAGCACAATCATTACCCATGCTTACTCAAGAGAATGGACTTACCATCGCGTATTTCACTAGCGAGCTGCGCAGCCCAGAACACATAGTAAAAGCGATAAATTACAACATGATATTTCAACAACGGTTGTCTATATGAGCTTTTCCTGGTAGCCTAATGCTTTTTATGTGATATCTAGCCACTTGTTAGAGTTTAGGGGAATTTAATAAATTTGTGACTGTGAGATATATATTTCTGGAGTTCAGCGATGTATTTTTCGATACTATAACAATGCAAGTTCTCGATTGATCCAAAATTGATCATAATACTAAAAATGCTTATCAATTGCTATCGGCGACTAATTAAATTAAATAAAAGGGTTGGTTGTTGAAATATCATGTTGTAATTTATCGCTTTTACTATGTGTTCTGGGCTGCGCAGCTCGCTAGTGAAATACGTTACATCAAACTCCAGGAGAATTATTCGGTCAGATTATTCTGGGAATGGACCTCCTTTAAGGACGAGGTTCGTCACATAATGCAAAATCTTGATCCCAATTGGCTTCTTCCGTGCACAGATGTCAATAGTGACAGGTACATCGTCGGAAGCGAACTTGGTCTCACCGGGCGGTTCGACAAGTATTTCTATGACTGCGTGCAAGTCCGCCGGGCTTGCTTTGCAATTCGAAGATCGGCAAGCTGCAGACACAAAGACGATACCAAAAAAGATACCAAAAAGGACCCGATAGCTGTAGGAGTGTGGTCGTGCTCTTTAAAACAGGCCGCCTCTTCTTCATCTCCCATTATGAGCAATCTTGCGGACGACTACGTCGTCCACCACTTCTCCCGCTTCAAGCTACTACGCGCAAACGACAAATTGTCGACTGTCGAAAGTCAGATATCAGGAAAGCCAGCAAACCATGGCTTGCCATCCTCCATGATGGTAACAACCTTGAGTTCTTTTTATTCAACTCTTTAGACAAGGTCATACACTCGTTAGGCCGAGTCATAGGTATCTCAGCAGCTGAGCGAGGCGACCATATTGATCTCCTTGCCTCCACTAAAAAAAAATTGCGAGTATCTCTTTGACTAGTTTATTATAGGCTACATCAACAGCCTTCGATCGTTTGGACAGCAGTCATCAAATCGATCACGTGTGAAGAAACGATTGTCCACTGATCAATGGGAAAGTGCTCTTCCTGCTGCTGATACCGCGCACTAGTTTCTAAGAGGGGCAGCAGAAGCCGCTAAAGACAGAAAACTCGAGGATGCTGAGACCATGGCAAGCTGTGGCGTAGAGCAGTTGAAGCTGAGTGTTCCACAGATCCACTGCCAGCCACTGTATGAGAGGGATCTTGAATATTTATGGGATGGTAGTAAGCCCCTGGAAGAGGCCTTCAGCGATCAAGATTTCTTCTAAACCAATATACACACTTAGTGTCCCCTATCCGTGTCTTCCATCCTTAGTCTGTAGACAAAAACAGCAGAAAAGATATAGGATAACACCACTATTCAAGCTTAAGTACAAGGAAATAAGATTGATGTTACCGTCATATATATTCCGTCTACGTCGATTCTCAAGAATGCTTGAGGAATAGAATGATAACATCTAACCTATCTTAAGCTACCATGATAGTTGAGAGTTCAAACGCAAAACGATAAAAAACTCCAAGCTATACCAAAATTTCTGGATATCGATAGGTCATCAAGCGTCCGTACCTAGGTACGTCGGAGGAGTGCGTTCGCAAAAGGGAGCTTTGAATCAGCACATGCACTAATTGACAAGTCTGGGCGTATAGGATTGTCTGGATACAGATGACTCGGAGTCCAGTGGCTTTGGGCGTAAGTAATCCGAAGGAGACGCGCTTCTTCATAACAGATATGGCGTGGAATGGACGGCCCCGGGTCGTCCACGGGTAGGGTAAGCTGCGGCTCAGCATAAGGCGCTAAGTAAGCCCCGAAGGCACCCGGGAGGGGCCAGAGTCTCGGAGTAGACAGTAATTGGTATGTCTTGAACCCCAATTTTCAATCATCGACCAACTCATCCCACGTAACCCTTTCGGACGGCCTTCGACTCTCGTGTCTTGAAGAGCCAAGCCATCAGGGTCCCTGTTGCAGGGGCCGTCGCGGGACGTGCTGGGTTGAAGTTGCCGGAAGTTACTTTTTCTTTTTCTTTTTCCTTTCTTCTTCTTTCCTTTTTCACCACAAACAAACCCACTAGTGGCCTTGAGGGCGTCTGAATTTTGCTTGGCATATCTTGCTTGGCCTTTTACGCAGCGTCCTTAAAAAGTAAAAGGGCAACCTGCATTGGGATTTAGAGTCATGTGGCAACAGATGGAACCCTGCGGAGTACACGTAGAAGTCCCTTGCATATGTGACCTGTCTATTCGGTACATACCAAATAGGTCAGTACATACCTTGTACGGAGTACGTAGCACGAGGCCGAGCTATTCAGCCGCAACACATACCAAGACTTTTACTGCCACTGCATGAGACACGTCCCCGGGTCCTATGGAAAACGAAAACTTGAGCTATTGGCATTGGCATGGAATATAGGGCCCACACCTTGCATTTCGAATGATCTTTGGACAACATTCAACATCTCTCATTTTCTTTCTGGACAAGCATTCATACCACCATACCACAATGACAGTCTCTTCCACTGTTCAGCCTCTCGATGCCTCTGTGCCAGCGGTCGAAGAAGCGGCAGATATGCCTCATCGTACACTCAGCAAGTCGATGACCTTCGCCAACCTGGACCAATACCAATACTGGCATGCCGTCGGTCCAATGCTGGGGAGAATGCTCTCCAATGGCAACTACAGCATCCACAAGCAATATGAATATCTCTGTCTCTTCGCACATGTCATAATCCCAAAGCTAGGGCCATTCCCTGGCGGGAGAGATATCTACAAATGTCTACTCGGAGGCACCGGCTCCGTGGAGCTCAGTCAGAATGTCCAGAGATTAGGGCTGACTGCACGGGTTGCCTTCGAGCCCACAAGCTACATTGCTAGCACTGGAGTTGACCGGCTCAACCGGCACACAGTACACGCTACCCTGACCGAGTTGAGGGCTATCGGGTCTGCCAGCGTTGACATGGAGCTGCATCACACGCTCGTCAACGAGCTGACATTGACGGACCGCGAGGAGAATCTCATGTCCCCGGACCAAATCTCGGGAACCGCGTGGAAGACGCAAATTCTGCTTGCCTTGGATTTGGGACAGACCGACGTCACGGTCAAGGAGTATTTCTACCCGGCACTCAAAGCTTCCGTGACGGGGCAAAGCGTGGCTAAGTTGTGCTTTTCTGCTATTCGGAAAGTGGACAAGCAAGGTGTCTTCGAATCTGCGAGTAAGGCCATTGAGGCCCATATGCAAACCCAGAGTCAGACAGACCTCTACTTTCTGTCCTGCGATTTGGTCGACCCAGCAGAAACTCGGATCAAGCTTTACCTGATGGAGCTAGACATGAGGTTAGCAAAGGTCGAGGAGCACTGGGCAATGGGCGGCAAGCTCAATGACGAAGAGACCATGCTTGGACTGAAAATGCTGCAAGAGCTGTGGGCAGAGTTTGGGATTGTCGAAGGTATGCGGAATGAGCCGGAGCGGCCATCGCTGCCTGGGGATCCCGACACCATTGTTCCATTCATCATGAACTATGAGATGAACCCCGGCGAGGCATTGCCCAAGCCCAAATTTTACTTCCCCTTGGTCGGCATTTCCGAGCTGAAAATTGCAAAGGTCCTCACTGCGTTTTTTGAACGCTACGATATGCCTGAGCAGGCCGCAGTCTATCGCGATAATCTGCAGACATACTAGTAAGTTTCTTCTCTAGATACACATATGAGGAATACTTCTTGCTAACCTGACTCGCGTGATATCAGCCCCACAAAAGACTTGGCCGTCGCAACGGACCATCAGGCATGGCTGTCCTTTTCATACACCAAGAAGAAAGGACCGTATCTCACCATGTACTATCACTAGGAAATTAGAATGGCCACGGTCAAGGTACGTTTGGCGAACTAGGCAGCTTCGATAGTATTTGAGGAGCGGCATGAAAGCATGGACAGTTTGTTTATATGTAATTTAAGGCGTCTTAGCTAGCCGGAATGAGGAAGTATCTGAACATAGATGGCATTACCACTGTCCTGGATAATGCTGGTGCGCTGGTCTCGGAATTTCTTTTCTACCACTTGGATACCTATATATGTAGTTCCCCCGACATTTACCCCCCAGTTTCAAACAAATGGCCAATGTAGCCGCATCTTCAACAGACCGGCCACCTCGCTGGCCCGCAATGGCGGGCATCGCATGAGCTGCATCCCCTATGAGCATGATGCGCCCACCTCAAGAGCTCCAGGTGGACAGAGAGGTGATCTTGTAGCCCGCGGTTTTTCACTGGGCGTGTGTCGCACAACAGCAGGCACTTGCGAGTAAGCGGGCCGGTCCTGGAGAAGGGCGAGGGTATCCTAAACACGGGCCTCGGTGATATTTCCCCAGGACTCATCAGCCTTCTCGTGGGTTCTATCATTTCCAAGAGCAAGTCAGCTTTCACTCTGGTAATCGAACTTGCGAGTAATACACACCTTATGCCAGACTTGCCAAATCACATTCCGGCCGCGTTTTCCAGTTGCCAAAGTCAGACCGAGCTCTCCGGTCGTGATGTATCTTCGCATCTGGTCCTGGACGCCTACTTCCTCCAGGTTCGATTGAGCCTCAGAATCACCCACGAGCAAGTTAGCGCTGAAGCACGCCCGGAACGTGGCTAACTCAGAGGATCGGGGAGCGATCCGATATCCAGGCACATAATCTCGAGTCTTGCTATGCACGCCGTCGGCACCAACGACGCAGTCAGCCGCAATCCGTTGCTCGCCATTGACAATCACAACGGCTTGATCCTCATCCTCCCAGTAACCAGTGACGGCCGAGCCAAAGCGCAAGGCAACACTCAGTGACTTGGCATGTTCGTATAGTCCATGACCCGACGTTCCGCGGTGGATAATCATGCCCTCTCCCAAGCCATACCCATCCATGAAATCCAAGGCGTACAGTTTTCCCGCAGGGTCTAGAAACTCTATGGCGGCCCCATTGTCAGACTTAGAAACCATTTGACGTAGGACTTCGCCGTCGCTTTAACTTTTTGGACCTTAGTCGCATTGCTTGCCAAGGTGATGCTGTCTCCTGCTCCAGTCAATAGGCGACCCATGGACAACCGATTTGGTATCACACAGTCTCCCTAGAACTCTAATTCCCGGACCTCTCTCAAGCCCAACTACCACATGTCCCTTGTAGGGGCACTCAATGGCAGCAACCAGACCTGCAATGCCAAGCCCGACGATAATCACTTGGAATTCCACTACTAGAACCCGGTACGGCAACCCCATTGGGACCGACGCCGTGTGTGGCAGTCATCGTGATGCGTTGATTATAGATTGACCTTGTGGCTTCGGACTAGTATCTACAATAAGCACGACACAATCCCTCTTCATGGCCACTTGGCCGCCGATCGTCACTACAGAGGCTAGGGCCATACCACATGCTACCTGGCGATCGTGGGCTAGATGGTGAGGTTACCCTAAATTCCTCTGTCTGCACTCATGTGAACATAACCTGTTTCATGCATCGGCTATTGCGTTCCGATCACACCATGCGGTGTGTCAATGGCTGTTCTTGTGATCTGGCACGCCACCCCAGCGCTGCAGAATGAGGTCTTGGAATCAATCTCTACAGATTGCCACCTGCAATGTACAGATGACTGCCGAGAAAGGCTTTAAAAATGAATAGCTCTCAGCTGGGTTGAACTAAGCCTATTTCGGAAACAGCTTAAAGCCAAGAATGGCTCGGGACTATTTGCTATTTGCCTTTCATGTCTGGGGTCATGCAGGATAGTTGCCTGCAATGTACGCCGTATAAATGCGATGTGAGGTCGGGATACCAGAAAATGGTATAGCTTCGACGCAGTCAGACATGCGGAGCGCCGGGATGGACCGACCAGAGAGCGCTACGGGTACGGAGATCAGGGATCGGGCCTGATATGCAAGGGAGGTTAGCCACGGCGCTTCTACATCCAATGACACAATAACTGCAGAGAATCAAATGCAACCTCGTATTCGATGTTTGTCTCACTTGGCAGTGCAGTTCAGTCTCGAGGGTGTGGAGAAAATATCCGTGATATGGATCTATGTTGTACGAAAGACTTTCCTAGGCTCTGTGTCCTGATTGGCTCACAAGAACACTAGGCCAACGTCGATCTCCACCATTTGCAAATCATGCAGAATTAGAGTAATGCAAGGCAATAGTATATTGACTATCGATTGCCTATTGATCTCCGGCGATCTCCGTCGATCCCCAGCGCGATCTGTATCGTGGCTTTAATATGGTTTGGAGAGATTTTACCCAGATTTTCGTCTTATGACCGGCGGTGCGTGAGCGAGATCGAGACAGGAGAGACTGAGAAGGGTACGTGGGGACTGCATCGAAGTCTAATGGATCGAGTACGGCAGCCAGTGGATGATACCAGCTCGAAATTTTGACACAGACAAGCCCTACAAGATACCGGTCTTCTTCCTGCACTTGGTATTATAGAATGTGATTATTCTAGACTCCTAAGTTGAAACCTATTGCCTAGAAGCGTACATGATCAGCCAAATATAGCGACGAAGTTCCCAGTTAGGATGCAGAATCTGAGCAAAATGACTTCAAATGACCAAGCCATGTATTTCGACTAGCAGAATCTAGCCTACTCAAATACAAAGAGAATATATACTATAGCGCTTCCAAAATAATTTCCTGTTCGGCAACCTTGAACCACGCTTCCCCTCGTTTCTGGGCATCCTCCTCATTCACAGCAGACTTTCCAGCGGATTTCAACTCATAGTTCTCAACAGTATATGCGACCAGCACCTTAAGGATCGTGTCTGCCAACGCCTGCGCAATACACTGACGGGGACCAAAGCCAAACCGCCAAAAGCGATACCGAAAGTTGGCCCTGGATTCCTCCAGGAACCGCTGGGGGCGGTAGATCATTTTATCAGAGCCCCAGGCGTCATCCCAGATATTCAAGGCATTGGTGTCAACCACCATGAAGGTTCCACGGGGAATGCGGTATCCACCCACGTCACGGTCAGTGGGCATTGATTGCGCATAGGTATAGTTGGTGACTGGTTTCAGTCTTGCAGATTCGTTGATGCAGCTCGCCAGCAGAGTCGAGTTGCTGGCAATGTATTTGACCCAGGACTCTGGCGTCTTGTCGGATCTGGCTTGTGAGATCTCGTCTCTAAGCTCGCTTTGCAGATTAGCATCATCGGCTAGGAATTGTGGGATCCAGGAGAAGCTGCCAATTGTCACGTCGATGTTGGCAAATAGTGCTTCGTCCAATGTGTGCATCAGCTCGGTTGGTGTAATCTGACCTTGCTCGACGGCGCTATACAAGGTAACTATAGCACAATCAGAGGCATTGTCACTGTTCATTGCATATTGATATGCTTTCCGATTGAAATTGGCCCAACGAGTGTGAAAGGCATGTAGCTCGTTTCTTATGGCCGGGTAAAATATTTTGCTGATGGAGAACAGTGATAATCCACCCTTGAAGGCATATTGAAACACATCGGTGCGCAGATCAGTGATGTGCAAGAGTTCCTCTGTCATCTCCGGGGACAAGTTTCCATACAAGAGGTCGCTAATAACCCAGAAGGGCAGAAGCTTGAGATCCTCGGCGGGCTTGATGCGCAGCGTTTTCCCGCCTTCATACTCCTTGTATAGCTCAGAGAAATGGCGGGAAATGCGGGACTGGACAAAGGGAACATATGTCGTAGGCTTCTTGGTAAATGGTGGGGAAACTACAGAATGGACTCGTTTCCAGTGTCCTTGGCTGATGAGTCCGACACCATCACGGACTAGATCGCCCATTACCCATCCACCATTCAGGTTTGAAGCCTTGCGGTGATTACCAGAGTCTCTGAAGACCGTCTTGATCTCATCCGCGCGAGTCAAAATGCTGTACTTTTATTTTAGCATAGGCATTTCATCTTAGGAGAGGGAGCTTACATTTCTGGCGTGAGACCAACCCAGATGCGATATACAGGGCCATATCTCTTGGCCCACTGACGAGAGACGTTCTCTCCCTCCAGGAACTTGAGACTTCCACCGCCATCTGGAAATCGGTATGGGCATGTTGGAATGGTCTTTGAGCCATCTGTCGAATAAATCGGGTACCACCAGAGCAGAAATTTCTACATTGATACGAGAAGCAAAGTCAGCAGCGTTCCCTTGATGTATTTTCGGAGTATTTGCCCGACATTGATTATGTATGAAATTACTCGATTTGACCAAGTATTTGGTCGAAAGGCGTGCCACAATGTGATTAGAAGTGATACAGCTACCAACTGCAGCGTAAGAAGAATGTAGCCTGACATATTGTGGAGCCGACGTTGGAAAGAAGCTGAAGTAACAAATGGAGGATTTAAATGACGAATTTGGATTCAATTTGTAACCGACAGCATGACTGAACCCAAATAGGCATGTCGAGTGATAGAGATGATCTTATTCCAGTTCCTACAAGTGCGGCTGACAATCCAGGGCAACCTCACCGAGTGGCCAGAATCTGACGTGTACAAAGTACGTGTGGGTCCAATGTTGATCAGCAAGGACCAACATGCATGGTCGTATCGCATTGATCTGGGCGAACGCATGGCGTTGAGATATGCAAGGACTTGTGGGGATTGTTGCAGGTGTCGCCACGCACTAAGAACCATTGGCCAGCCTCAGCTTGGCGGCTATGATACCTGGGCAACATTCTTGCTGCTGAGAACCCATTCTTGGCCATTTTTGAGGATATATCGGGACAAGGCCTTTCAGCCGAAGTACGGAAATTCCATGTATTCATTACCAAGAAGGAATCCTCATATCTCGGGAGGAACCTTAACTTTTGGAATACTTGTCCATCATCGCCATGGATTCTTACCATGGTCGTCATACTATCTCCTTCCCTTTGGGCAAGGAATTGGAGGCAGAATGGACTGATAATGGTGAAGCATTGCGCCGATCTCATCTTCTCAAGGCATCCTGGGCCTTGCTGCTCGGCAGGCTCTCGGAAACACACACGACAACATTTGCAGTGTTGGAACAACTGGTAGCCCCTCCAAGGGATGCGTGTTCGAAATTAGTGACTTCATCTCCGCATTTAGAGACATGGGAAATATCAGACAGTCTGGATAGCTTCTTGGCGGATGCAGCGAAGGAAAAACACAGAGGACCTCTTTTGGGCACAGAGACCTCGACGGCTGTGGTCATCAGGTGGCATGATGAACCGAATGGTCCGACCCCTGTAAGTAGGAGTCGATAATGCGTTCTTCGCACAACGTACTAATAGAGTCTCAGTTGCCCTATGCATTCAATACAATGGTTTTTTTGGACTGCAGTATATCACCCGCGCAAGTATCTATGGAATACTCAAGGACATCTCTCACAGTGAACCAAGCCTGGTCACAATTAACGGCTACGGTTCACATTCTGGAGCAGATAGTTACGAGCCCAGGTATATCACTTCGAGAGGTAGATTTCCTGGGCTCATATAGTACCAAATTGATCCGGCAATGGAACAATCCGTACTCACTCGCACGACCACAAGTATGCATTCATTCTTTGATCCTAGAGCATTGTCGGAGCCAACCCAATGCCGAGGCACTGTGTGCTTGGGATGGTTCCATCACTTATGCGGAGCTTGAACAATTTTCACTCTCAGTCGGACTCCGGCTGCTGTCACTTGGTGTTGGCCCAGAGTCAGTGGTGCCGCTCTACTTCGAAAAATCGCACTGGACGGTGGTCGCCATGCTGGGAGTGCTGAGAGCGGGAGGTGCTTTCGTTCTCCTCGATCCCTCTCACCCTATGACTCGACTGGCCGATATTTGCTTGGAGGTGCAGGCAACAGTTGTCATCACCTCGGAGTCATTGCAGGAACTGGGTCGGGAGCTGGGTCCTCGAGCTATCACGGTCCTCGAGGCAAACAAAGGTCATGTCGATACAGGCAGAAACACCATTAACACATCTGTCAAGCCTTCAAACGCCGCATACGTCGCTTTTACTTCTGGGTCCACCGGGAAGCCCAAAGGAATCGTGATTGAACATCAGTGCTTCGTTGCAAATACGCTGGCTCAGAACGCAGTCCAGAATATTAATAGCCAAACCCGGGCATTTCAATTTGCCTCCTATGGGTTTGACAGCAGCATTCTTGAGACGCTCATGACTTTGGTGGCGGGTGGTTGCGTCTGTATACCCTCGGAGAAGCAGCGGCTCAACGGCCTGGCAGACGCTATCCGTGGAATGCGAGCCAACTGGCTCGAACTGACTCCATCTGTCGCACGGTTCATCAATCCTGAAGAGGTACCGGAAGTGCGATCTGCCTTGTTTGTCGGGGAGCCCATGTCTCAAGACCACGTCACACAATGGTCGGGGTCGGGGAAGATCCAACTCCTCAACGCATACGGCCCCGCCGAGTGCAGTGTTGTCGCCACTGTGCAGCCCAATGTGCAACTGGAAGATCCCCAAAATATCGGCCGCTCATACAGCAGTCACTGCTGGGTCGCCAATCCTCAAGATCATCACCAGCTCGAGCCCCTGGGTGCGGTGGGAGAGTTACTCATCAGCGGACCAATCGTGGCCCGAGGCTATCTCAACCAGCCCCACCAGAAGTCCTTCATCTCCAACCCTCGTTGGGCGACACGATTCGGGATTCCTCCAGCTGAACGCGTTTACAAAACTGGAGATCTCGTGCGATATAACCTTGACGATGGCACGCTGCGATATGTGGGGCGCAAAGACCGGGAGGTGAAAATGCACGGGCAACGTGTCGACCTGCAGGAAATTGAACATCATGCCTCCCGGTTTCAGAAGGGAATACTTGCAGTGGCCAATGTACTTCAAGTCAACGGTGGCAGCGCGGGGAAACTCCTCGCTTTGTTCATTGCCGCAGATAATGATGAGACTCGCATGACGAATGAAAGCTTCGTTGTCCCCATGAATGATACCCTCCTGGATATGGTTACCGACATCAAACACTGGCTTCGTGACTGTCTACCGCCATACATGGTCCCAACCAAATATGCGTTTGTCAATCGTTTTCCTCTAACGAGAACTGGTAAACTCGATCGACGAGCCTTGGTTGATCTTGGAGCAGCATCCAGTCACTCACCGTCTGGAGAGCAACCGTCAAATCAGCGTGAAGAAGATGTCGAGTTGGACCCGGAGCTTTCCGACAAGGAAAGTATCTTGTGTTCAGTTTTTTCTGAGGTGTTAGAGTGCCCGGAAAGGAACATCGGTCCAGAAGATGGTCTCTACGACAGAGGAGGAAATTCATTGGCTGCTATCGAGCTGGTAGCCCGTGCACGCAAGCGTGGTCTGGAGATCACGGTGGCAGATGTCATCCGTCTTCAGAATCCACGAGACATTGCGCGATGCACTGTGGAAAGCAAACAGGTTCACGAGATCTCACCATTCTCCCTTCTCGTTGATACCGAACAGAGCCTATATGCCGCGACCGCCCAGTGTGGCATTGAGAGAGAAATGATTGAAGATATTTACCCTTGCACCCCTCTGCAGGAAGGCCTCATGCATCTCTCAATCAAGAATCCGGGAGCTTTCATGGGCACATACCGATTCTCCTTGGCTCCGTCTACGGACCTTCATCGGATCTGGGCTGCATGGGAACAGCTTTGGCTCGTACATCCCATCTTCCGAACACGCATCATCGAACTTCAGGATGGCCAAAAGCTTCAAGTAGTCACCAAGCAAAAGCTCCAATACAAGGATATTTCAGGCACGGATGATTGGCAACTCATGAACTTGGGCACCCCCCTGGCACGTCTGACATTCCATTCTGGACGGACTCCCAGCGGATCAGACTCTGGCATATTCCTGCTGGCCATGCACCACGCTCTTTTTGATGGATGGTCGTATGTGCAGCTGCTTGAGGATCTCCAGGTGATTTACAATGGGGACAAACTGTCACAACGCCCTACCTTCAATCATGTTATTAGCTACATCTCCAATTTGAGCATTGAGGAATGTCGCACTTTCTGGAGTCAAGAGTTCAATAATTTCCAACCCACAATGTTCCCTATATCTTCCCGGCGGCCAACCGCGTTACCACATTGGCAAGTCAGAAGCCAGCAAATTATCCTGGCCAAGTCAGATATGAATTGGGCCCTCGCCAATAAAATCAAATTGGCGTGGGCGCTTGTGATCTCTTCCCAAACTCACTCAAGCGATGTTGTATACGGATTGACAGTCTCGGGCCGGAATGCCCCAGTTCCAGAGATCGACCGTATTTCTGGGCCAACTTTTGCAACATTCCCCTTCCGCACGCAGCTTGATGACGATTTGTCGGTGGAAGATACGCTGGTTCAAATGCGACAGCACGACGTCTCCATCATGCCATTTGAGCATATTGGTCTCAGGCGTATCGCGGAGTCAAGCTCAGACGCGGCCCTGGCTTGTGGATTCCAGAATCTTCTCACCATCAGGTTGCAATCTCTTCAGACTCCTCCCGGTGCCTTGATTGCTTTGCCCGAGAACGAAGACCATGACCTGAAGTTTGCCTCGTATCCCCTGTCAATTGTGACCCAGCTGGAAGGCACATCGTTAGAGGTCAAAGTGATCTTTAATAGCTGCATCCTGGGCGCTGATAAAACTGAGACACTCTTGGAGCAGTTCGATACGTTATTGCAGCGAATCCTCCGGGAACCCGGGGCAAGAATTAAGGACTTGAGGAGCCAACTTTCTCCAGAGTTGCAGCAATTGGCAGCGATAAACAAAAAGAGTCTGGGCCAACTTCATTCCGTACACGATATCATCCAGGGATTCGGCGTCACCCAACCAAGCTCAGAGGCCGTCTGCGCATGGGATGGCTCGCTGACATATGAAGAACTTGTCACGCTGGCACGGAGATTGGCAGGCCGTCTCCAGTCTTTCCGATCCGGGTCGGAACCCGGTGCGGTCATCGGGATTTGCGTGGAAAGATCAAAATGGTTCCCTGTTGCCATCCTAGGTGTCATGATGTCTGGAGCCGCCATGGTTTTGTTAGAACCCAACTTCCCCACACAGCGTTTGCAGCATATCTTGCGAGATGCCGGGGCGCGAACGATGATATGCTCTCGGATATTTCAAGAGAATTGCACTGGCTTGGTCGATGATATGTTGGTTCTGACTCCCGATGCCGTGACCCAAGCGGACTATGATGCTTGGGCTCCAGCAGCGGTGTTTCATCAAGATCCAATGTACGTTGCTTTCACATCTGGATCAACCGGTGCGCCGAAGGGTGTTGTGATCGAGCATGGCATGGTATATTCGATGCTCGAGGCACATAAGGACGTCATCGGCGCATCAATTGCGTCCCGCGGCTTGCTTTTCGCCTCGCCGGCGTTTGATATCTGCCTTGCTGAGATTGTAATTGTCCTCGGTGCGGGGGGCTGCGTCTGTGTGCCTTCTGAAGCTCAACGCATGAACAGCTTGGCGAAAACGATGACAACCATGCAGGTCAACATGGCCATGCTGACCCCTTCGGTGGCGCGAACCCTCTCGCCAGCCTCGGTCCCTTGTCTCAAAACTCTGATTCTTGGAGGCGAGGCACCGTCAGCCTCTGATCTGGCGACATGGGCTTCACGCGTTCAGCTGCATCAGTCCTATGGGCCGGCCGAGTGCGCTATGTACACGACCACTACACCGCCATTGACGCCCAGCTCAGATTTGGGCAACGTCGGGTCTTCTCCAAACGCGTCCTGCTGGATCGTTGACCCGGACAACCATGATGAGCTTCAGCCCGTAGGCTCGGTTGGAGAGCTACTCATTGGTGGGCCGATTGTTGGAAGAGGATATATCAACCGAGCCCAGGAGTCTGCGGCGGCCTTCATTCGTGATCCCGTCTGGAGCGAGACCTTCCCCTTCTTGCAAGGAGACCGACTTTACAAGACTGGAGATCTCGCTATCTTGAATGCAGACGGGTCATTAACTTTGGTCGGCCGAAAGGATACACAGGTCAAGCTCAATGGTCAGCGGATTGAACTGCAGGAAATTGAGCATTGTGCCGAGAGATACCGACATGGTACCGCAGCCATCGTGGAGTTGACAGAGCCTGCCGGCATCCAGAGACCCAGACTTATCATGTTCGTCTATGATCCTGCGACGGTAGAAACCACGGTGGGCATCAACTCTGCTTGTCATGACCATCGGGAACTGTTTCTCTCGCCGTCAAGACAAAATCAAGCTTACCTGGAAGGTGTAAGAGATTATCTCAACCAACGCCTTCCACTGTATATGATACCTTCCCTTTTCCTTTTGCTATCTCGTCTGCCGCTTAGCCCAAGTGGCAAGGCCGACCGCAAGACATTGCGCCAGATTGCGTCGAAAATGGATAGAGAAACATTGGAGATGTATCTTGACAATCCGGTGGCAGAGAAAAGGGAACCAATTACAGAGCAAGAGCGATTCGTCCGTGCTAACTTTGCCACAGCCCTGTCATTAAATGAGGAGGCCATTGGTATGGACGATAACTTCTTCGCTCTTGGAGGCGATTCCATCACTGCCATGCGGGTGCTCACGTTGTGTCGGAGAAGAGACATGGCTATCTCGATGCAGGAATTCCTTTCAAAGAACACCGTATCCTTGTTTTGCACACATGTCATTGTGATCCAGGGAGAGGCGGTTGATTCCAAACGCCAGAAACTCGTGAATTCCCAAGACTCGGTTCGAGGGAAGGATCGTCTCGTCCAGTTTGAGCACATCGATTACCACCTGGATTTGGTTCGATCTAAGTTGAATTTGCTGAAATCGGATTCCATCGAGGAAATCTACCCCTGCTCTGATGCCCACAGTGGAGTGTTGGAGCTCTATACGTCCAGTTACACGAGCACTGCAATTTTCGAAATTTCGTCTGCAGGATCAGTGACTCCGATGCAGGTGAGCAACGCTTGGAGTCAACTAGTGCACCGTCATATCGCCTTGCGGACGGTTATTATGAAAGAACCAAAGGTTCACGCAGATTATCTTCATGTGGTCCTCGGCAAGGGACCAGCTCAAATTCTCGCTCTTCCTCGCAGCAATAATGCCCTTTCTAAACTGAAAAATCTCGAACCAGCCCAGTCCTGGGGCCCGTCGCCACCACACCGGTTAATCATCGGCCAGGACCATTCCGGGACAGTCTTCATGAGGCTGGAAACGGGCTGTGCCTTGATAGACGCTTTTTCCATGACCATTCTACTAGAAGAGCTTTCTCTCCTGCTACAGGGTCTGCATTTGCCAGAGCAAGGGGTCTCGTATCGTGAATATCTGACCCTTTTGCGCAGCCAGTCACCTGCAGAAACACTGCAATACTGGACACAGGCGCTTTACGGAGTTCACCCTTCCCACCTGCCCAGAGTCCCTGATATACAGTCCCTTCTGCCCGAACCTCGCTCGCAGAGTCGCTACCTGCCATTTGCGCAATCAAAGCTTCTAGATTCCTTCTGGCGCTCCAATCATCTCACCATAACCAACGTTTTCCAGCTGGCATGGGCCTTAACCCTCACCCACTATACCAATTCCCGCGATATCTGCTTCGGAACCATTACCTCGGGGCGTGATACGCCTCACCTTGAAGTATGGGATATTGTTGGATCTTTTTTCAATGTTCTTCCGTGTCGAATTGCGATTGATCCCACGCGCACGGTGATAGACACGCTACGACAGAACCAGGAAGACATTCAGCGTCGAAATGACCACCAATACTGTTCTATGCCAGATATAATTCGCAAATCTGGAATAAGAAGCTTGGACGACGACCAACAGCTGTTCAATACAGTTCTGACAATTCAGAACCCATTCTCAACACAGTCATCTGCTGCAAAGGATGGGAGCAGCGAGATCGATATCAAACTCATCGATTTGGAGGATGCAACTGAGGTGAGCGCCTTTGGAACTTGAACGACGATCAGACTAACTAATGATGATTCTTTAGTATGACCTTTGCGTGGCCATTCTTCCCTCTGCTTCTGACTTCAAGGTGGAACTACGCTACTGGTCGACGACCGTATCTGATGAATATGCTTCGGATATTCTGGATCGCCTTTTCAACCAACTGGAACAGATCGTGCATCATGCGACCAAGCCATTGAGTGTCATCACCAGCATTGGATGACAAACCATATACATACCTCTCTCGACTACGACCTTTCAAGGTTTCAGGATTGCTCCTTTGATGGAAATAGGAACGTCGAGCTCGATCAATTATAACGTGCTCTTTTGGGATCTAATTTTTCGATAATATTCTTTTTATATTCCTATGTTTTGTACTCTCGGATACTCCCGGGTCCAATTGACAATAATATAAAGCATAAAATACCACATAAAAGTTGGTTTAGAGGACTTGTCCAAGGCTACGAGTGCTCCAAGCATCAGATTCCAAGGCAATATCATATCCTAGAACTGGTCTAAAATAATAGAAGAGAAACAAGAAAACAACACATAGACAGCCACCGACATCGTGGTCAATGGATGAAACGCCATTCGCACCCGTTTTCCATACCCGAACACGGTTCTAAGACTTGGTTCCAACTCAAATTTTGAGGGAGCTCGTCACGGAAGGGAAAATATCGAGGAAAAAAAAGAAAATCCATGTACACAAAGGAAAAAGTGAAGAGGGGGAAAAAGACAAAAGGCAGGGGGCACAGGTTGAGGGCATCAGTCCGGGCGAGTACCGCCGAAAATCAAAAGACAAAAATATCGTTGCCCCATAGTCGCTATGCCATCGCAGGAGAAAATAAACGGAAATCACATGTCCATCAGCAGTCCATCTCCTCCGAGACGTTATTTGGTGGAATTGCTTCGATGCAAGATCTGTACATTGGTTGCACTGGTACCACTGCCGACCGATCGTCGTCGCGGGCGAATCTCACTGCCGCTTCCGCTCCGTCGCCGCCGGCCAGTGTTTCGAATCGAGCCTCGGCGTCGTGTCTGGAGCAAACGGACGTTTTCACGTTAGAATCACGCTGGCTGTACATGGGCGGACGTGGTCTCTTAGCAAAAGACAAGAACGAGGGCGATAGGGCCAGATAAAACAAAGGAAGTATTTCGCATAGGAATGCATTTATCTGGGCAGCAAAGCAGCGCAGATCAGCCATGCACTGGACTTACCGAATTAGGGGTGCCTTCCCGGCTGGGCCGTTCCTTGGAATCGGGATCCTCTTGCAACTTCAGGGAGTTCAATCGCTTTTGGCTCTCGTGAGTCATGGCCTCTACCTCATCGATCGGCTCCGGCACATCAAGAGCCGGGGGTGGTGGTGGGGGAATGCCGTTCTTCCGATCTTTGGCCTGTTGTTCAATCACGTCCCACCGGTCCGTGCGAGTCTTTTCGCGTTGGTCTGCGTTGTTCTGGTGCTCCGTGTAATCGTGAGAGCATTCATCGAAGAGTTGCGGGTTGATCTCCATAAACATCTTCATGGCATTGTAAACCATACTGTGGATTGTTCTGGAGGATTGAGGGCTTAGGTTAGCCTATATCAAAGTCAGTAGCATTATGCAGATCCAACTCACCGGTTCCAGTGTCCCTTCGAGTTCTCGTAAAGCGGGGCAAACATAAGCGGGAGAATTGTCTCCACGTTGTCGCTTACGAGATTACAGAAGTACTCGTTGTTCCAGAAGTACAAAGCACGTTCAGCGACCTGGAAATGGGGACTGGCAACAGACTTGGCCAACTGATTGAACAGAGGCTCCTGGACTTTGGCGAACTCGCCCGGATCCATCACTTCGAAGATGTCTTCGACCTCATTCAGGTACATAACCTCCTTAGTGCTATTGGTCTTAGGCCAGAAGCGCAGTAAGCCGAGAACAACCTAGACGTCTTAGTTAGTACTCAAGGTATGTCGGAGAAAGACAAATGAGGGCTTACATCTTCAGTCAATGAGGAGTCCTTCTCCAAAAATTGTACAATGCAGTAGGCCAATTGCGGGTGGTACATGCTGAGGCTCTTCACCTTGTGCATGGGCAGTAGCACTCTGGTCAAGAAGAGCTTGTGTTCCTCCTTCAGCGGCAAAGCGAATCCGTTGATGATGGAGCCCAGAATCTCGAGCAATTCAGCGATTCCGTTGTGGCGTTCTGTTTCGTACATGAACTGGAAGAAGACGTTGTTGATGGATCTGCGGATATATGACCGCAAGTTCAGGAACTTTCCATAGATGCGATGCAGAGTTGTCTTTAGGAAGTCACGTTCCCGGGGATCTTCTGAGTCAAATAGATCCAACAACTATAAGATTAGCTTGCATCAAACATGAAGACCAAGCACCAAGAGACATACCGAAAGTACAAACTGATGGTCGATATAACCCTTCGCGATGTTCGTGTTGAAATCCTGGCTCTCGATGAATCTCAAGAAGAATTCATACACGACCTGAATATGAGGCCAAGCGACTTCCAAGACCGGCTCATCCTCCTCCGGGTCAAATGCCTCGCCTTGGGGCGTCATAGGCGGAGGAATAGGACGGAACAGGTTCTTGGCGAACATTTCCACCACGCGGGGGTACATGGGCTCTGTAATGACCGACCGATTGTTGGCAACATAATCTAAGAGTTCGTGTAGCGCGAGCCTCTTGATCTCCTTGGACTTCATATCGGCTGTCGGGTCATTGAAATCGAAGATGATGTTGCACTGGTCGATCTTTTGCATGAACAGATCTTGGCGCCGGTTCGGAGGCACTTCGTGGAATCCCGGCAACTTTTCTAATTCTCTCTGGCGCTGATCGGAGATGTCGAATCGCGACGAATGTTGGCGTTTGGGAGTCCGGATACCTTCCGACATGTCCTTAGGAGTCGTCTGTAGGCGGTCAAAGACATGAGACTTCCTAGGAGGTGCGAGATCTCCGGGCATGGTTTCGGCGGCGCCAGGAGGGGGGACATGCTACAGAATCCAATCATTAGCAAGTGCAAACAGACACCAAAGTGTGAAACGGCTGTACTCACCGGTGCGCTTGGGCTAATTATGACACTAGGAGCCGCCTGCTGACCTTGCCTACCGAGAGTTCCTGGTCCATTGCTTGCCTGTCCTGCAGCGCCCGGTTGGGGTATATAGTGTTGAACCGGGGTGCCGGGGTGAGGTGCGCCCGCAGAAGGGGTTCCGGCGGGGGAAGCGTTGTCCGGCGATTTGTTTCGCGAGTCATTGAGGGAGGTTGTGGAGGATGTGGGTGTCCCTTGGTTAGGGGAAGTAGACTGCTGCGCGTTGGAAATGCCGAGGGACTGATTCTGTGAGGTGGAGTTGGAGTCTTTCTTTTTCGAGGACTTGTTGTCTTTCGCCCGCGACAACTGGTCGTGCTAAAAGCGAGGCATAGAAGGTTAGATGACTTGCAAAATGACACCGGCTGCATGACGAAGGAGGGGATAGATGGGCAGAAGTGATCATGTGGTAAGCTGCACTTGGGCAGGATACGCGGACAACTCACCACTCTCTGTCTGAAACCCTTCATTTTGATGATTATGTAGATGGCCACATGTACTCGGCTAGGTTTCTTGGTGCCAGTGCAGCCAGGCGGCGCACTCTAGCCGGAGTGAATCGAGGGGAGCCAACAGAAATAGCCGCTCAGGATAGCCACGAGGGGAGGGGGGAAGTGTTTGGATCGACTAATAGGAGATTCTCATAAGCGGTTCAGGTCACACAGCATGTAAGAGGGTTATTGAAGGGAAATGGATCTGAAATGCCGATATCAATCCCTGGAAATATGCAGAGAGGTTCAATGGCAACAGCATCAAGCGCTCCAAACAATGTGCAGTCGCAGCACGCGCACGGAGCACGAGGATGATGCTAGGAAGAAAGGGCCAATATAGGCAATGGAAGACGGCTGGCTGATCAAACGTACCTCCGTAGTTATGAGTTGCACAATTGACGGATCGAGTGGGAGTGCTCGGTGAGGGTAGGTGTTATAGGACAAGCTTGGTCGGCGCTGGAGGATCTCCGTGTCGCTTAGTGGCAGGCTGGGAGCGGGGGATTTGGGAGCACTAGAGGGATGGGCACTCAGGTCACACCCCACTGCGAAAGCACGAGAATCTCGATCTGACTAGCAAGAGACAAAGTCGACGATGTACAAGAGACCAAATAAAGATGATGGCGTTGGGTTGTGGAGAGGAGGGAGGGAAGTGGATTGTTGTTGAGGTGTAGGGAAAGGCGGGCTGCTTCTCCTGGCTGCGATGGTGATGAGAGGGGGACCACGCCCAAGTACTATGCGGCGGACTTTACGCTTTTTTTAGTTGAACTGGATCTCTTGCTTCAATCTCAGAGAATGAATTTACTCGACTATATTATTCTGCCATCCTCTTCTCCTGCCACCACTGTCGTATGCTTTTTCCCACTTGTTTCAAATTATGCTTATGTCAGTGCGCACGTGAGCTCCAGGTGGGACTCGAATTTCAGGCACAGGCACAATGTCACTATCTAATCTGAGACATCCAGCCCTGGAGGTATTGAAGGTGTTTAACTCATTTTTAAAGATGTACCCAGGTGATACAATTCTCAGATATATCCAAGTCAAGCAAAGCAGCCCTAGAGGTCCTTGGAGATGGAGATGCATATAGAGGTCTGTGCTCTTTGACCCACACCTGACCACAACATAACTACATAGCCCCCTGGGCCGTCTAAGGTACACCAGTTAGCCTGAACAGGAAATTCCTGCTTGAAAGGTCTCGATCCTTATATCAGTCAATGTTATGGCATTTAATTGTTAGGTACGGTGATATATCAAGATTCCAATGTAAAATCAGTTGGATACGTGTAAATATATATCCTTACTTCTACTGCACTCATCCTTACTCGCAATCCTGCCATATTTTCCAATCCCTCAAGTTTCTTTACCAACTGACTATTACTTCATCATTGACTGCTACTTGATCACTGGCTCATACCTTACTTACTCCCTCATGTTCACCACTCTTTAACATTTACCTCTAGCTGTCTCAACGTTCGCAATGGCGGATTTTCATGATGCCTCGGATCACTTGTCAGGATCCAGACGTGCTATCTTCGGACGAAAAGACCAAGACCGATGCCAGGAGAGACCAACAACGACAAGGTTCACGATCAGAATGTGGAGGTCAAAGAGAAGAGACACCAGACTCAAAGCCAAAAAGGGAACCTACAAGAGGGTCATGACATATGACAACATGGATAGGGAAAGATGGAGCTGATAGAATAGCATACATTCTGTTTCGACCAATCTGCCAGCCTCTATAAAAATCCATGAATAATTAGGCGACTTGAACACCTGTCTAATCCATACATATTCTTAGATGAAAGATGATTACTGCATTCTTGTCCAACACGACTGTTTCAAACTTCTCATCTCGTTAATCGGTAACCATCCATAAAGGTACCTAGTCTCGTCTAAACCTCAGTAAGAGAGTATTAGAACTAGTGGGAGTGCGGCCACTAAGGCTCTCCTCAAGCTCAGGCACGTGGTTGCTGCAGCACTGTTTTTCTCGCCTGTGCTACTACCACCGGTAGCTGCAGTGTAGGTGTAGTAAAGACTAGCAGCTGTCTGCGTGCCTAAACTATTAACAGCAGTGGTAGTAGGCAAACTGGATGCTGAGCTCATCGAGTATGCGTTTGCGAAAGGATAGAATCCTGTCGTTTGAGGACTGGCGCTACAGTAGGCGCTAGACACCCCCATCACATAACTCTGTGGGAACCAGTGGTAGCCTTTGTGGAAATTAGCTTTTTGACCAAATCTAGATAACAGCATTATGACAGGACATGCTCTGGGAAACACTTACCCTCGATACCGCCATGTTGTCTGTAACATTCCTGACAACCGGCCGCCGAGTCAAAGAAGGGATATATGTCACAATAGCATCGCTGCTGGACGTCCCAATTCCCTGAATAAGGCTCAAGGCCCGAAAAATCGCCGTTCGTGTTTTGGAAGTAGCAGTTGGAATTAATCGCCGCTTGTCGTTTACACGGAGCCTGGTCGATCAGATAGGTGGGCTTGGGGGAGATGGCTTCAGTCGCGTCATCCCTGCGGACATTGTGGTGTGACAATGGGTTATACGGCAGGAAGCATGCATTGTAGAGATCAATGTCAAGATCGGTGACACCGGAGTCCTGGGATGAGACAACATAGAACCTGGAGATATAGGCACCGTTTGGGAACACGGGGTATTCTTTGGAGCCGGTGCCTGAAGCGGTCGTGCTAGAGGATGTGCTGGTACCAAAAATGGAATCGTATCCGTAGGATGAAGTGTGTTCCACGGAGGTGGTTGTTATAGAGGTAGAAGCAGTCATCGCCATATTGGACGAAAAGGGTGATCTGTTGAAATGACTTCCAACCTGGGAAAGAGGATCTCCGGGAGAATGCTTGGCAACACTCGACCAATCACGTCTCTTGATCTCTGGAGTGCCTTGATATTATTTTTGGCTATTGACAAGAGAGGAGTGCGGTTGCATCCAAGATAGCCTGTTGGCTTTGTATGGACGAAGGACACATGAGGTTGTTGAGATTCGAGGCTAGTAGTGGAGCCAATTTCACTATTGGCTGTAATCGGATGGCTGCTCTCATCGTCGCTTAGTCGACCGCTGTATGTTTTAGCTGCCACTGGATAGTTATAGAACAGGGGACAGGCTTATTCTGTACTTTGTCGTCGGAGGTTTAATAACGAAGAACTGAGCGACGTGGTAACTGCGGACGATTTACTGAGACTGAGAGTAACATACGTCATTGACCACTTTGACAGTCGCCGTGAAAGGTGATATTTGGTTCCATTGTTTCAGATCTTTCGAATGTCAATTCGACCAATTCACTTGAGATTTTTCTTCGAAGCGTCCACAGGTGCTTTGTCTTGTCAGTTATAGTCCAAGGCTAGGTCGGGTTCGAGGTGATGAGTCAGCGAAATCACCGGCCCCGGGGGGACCCCTGGAGACACTAACCGCTTGTGGAATGTAGACTCGATTCTTTCCCAAGCCTGAGAGATATCGCTGGGAGCGTTATTCGTGGCAAAGGTGAAGAAAACAGAGAATTTCATACGAACAGGCATATTGAGCTGAAAGCACTGGTGAAAACTCGTAGCGTTGCCTTTGATCGCATTTGCGCAATCCCACCCGAGAGCGAACCAGAGACAACGACAACCAACATCAATTGAGACTCAAAGCTGGCGCAAATGATATAACAACCACACTGTCCGCAAATCTGATATAGAACCAATTAGCATGGATGATCAGCGGGGATCCAGAACTGCCCCCTTCTATGCAGTGCCATCCCGTCGCCTTGTCAGCGTCGAACACCCTGCTGTGGTGCGCAATGTCGACAAGGCGATGGAGACTTTGCAAGGTAACTCAGGAATAAAAACAGTGAGAACACCTGTCTCCCTGAAAGAATATTGAATATATGCTGATATGATACAGATCCTGAACCCGGCAGACGGCACGCTAGCGAATCTAGTGTTGCGGCCCGAAGATGCCATGGCTCGATCGGTCCAGTCGACGAGCATCCAATCGAACAATGTCCTTCTCAAAGTCACTGTTCCCAAACGGACAGGACGGAAGCGCAAAAGAGGCTCAAACGAGCCTTTCGCAGACGCACCAGAGCCAGAAGCATCCGAGCCACCCCCGCGGCGGACCGCTAAGGATCTCTTGCGCAGTCTGAGCGATAACCCTTCTAAGTATCAGATTGAGCCAGTTGGTAAGGTTGAACGCACACATGTGTTCCGAGGTAAGTTCACTACTTTGCTTCGTTTCCAGTTTGCTAACGCCTGATCCCAGGGATCCCTGATTTCGTTTACTCGACTACGGCGAGTTCCTTTACGAACCGGTTCCGAGACCAAATTCTTCGATTTGACTGTGAGCTCACTTGGCATGCATTTCAGGAACGTACTAACAAGCGGCAGTCGACAAAATGAAGCAATTTGACATCGACATGGCCAAAGGCGCCACCGTGAATGCAGATCTCATCCCACCGCCATCATTCAGCCACGGAGACGTCCCATTCCACTACATGTAAGAGCCACCACACCAAAAGCACAAAGCCAAGACTACCAGACCTAACCTCTCCCTCCCAGCTACCGGCAAAACCCAACAGTGAAACAAGCAATCGGCCGCTCCGGCAAACTAGAAACAGTGAACACGCAAACCGCCAACAAAGTCCTAACCCACCTAGTACCCTACGACATCCCCAAAGTTCCATCCGAGCCACGCCCAGGCATGCTCCCAATAAGCGCACTGGATCCGGGAATGCTCCGAACAATTGCGACGCTAAACGCCCTATACGAAAAGCAGCCCGCCTGGACACGTCGCGGACTACGCAACAATCTGACAACGGACGAAGAACGTCTGAACCTGCGGCATGCGATCCCATACGTGGGCTACATCTTCCGATCCGGGCCATGGCGCGACGCGATAATCAAGCTCGGCCTCGACCCACGCACCTCACCGGACTACCGGCACTATCAAACCTTCATGTTCCGACTTCTGGCACGGGAAGCCGAGCTCGCGCGCGACGGTGGCGGCGGCCGACGACACAATGTTCCACGACCGAGCGACCAGCGCGGCGGCGAAGACGAAGGCGTCAGAGGACCGTCAACGGGCCATATCTTCACTGGCAAGCAGCCGTTTGCGCAAGATGGACGGATCTGGATGGTGGGCGAGATTGAGGACGCGCAGCTGCGGGCTAGTTTGTATCCTCCTGATGCGGGGCCTGGGTTCCTGCGCAGCGAGTGCGATATTGTTACGGATGGGTGGTTTGGGAATGGCACGCTTGCGAAGGCGAAGACGATTATGCGACATAAGATCCAGGCGTTGATGGAGGGGCGGGAGCCGGTTGATGAGGATTATACGAAGATCATGCAGCTTCCTGACCATGCGCGGTCTGAGGCTGATTTCCCGTTGTTCACGCTTGATCCTCGGACTGTATCACAAAAGGAGATTAGCCTTGCTACGGAGGTCCGGGCGATTATTCGGAGTTCGCCGGTTTGGAGGAATTTGTCGGCTAATGCTGGATTGGTTAGGAGGGACGTTGGGGAAGGGAGGGGGAAAGTAAAGGGGAAGCAGGCTTTAAAGGGGAAGGACGTTGAGCCGGAACCAGAGCCAGAGGCTGAGCCTGAGAAGGTCGATGAGGAGAGTGAAGGCGAAGAGGAAGAGATGCAGCGGAGGGAGATGCTGGCTGCTCAGGTTGCGGATGCAGCTGCGGCGAGGGATGCTGATGAAGCGGAGGATGACGATGAGGCGGACGGTGATGGTGATGGGGACGATAGTGATGACATGGACGAAGACGAGGACTAGTAACGGGGACTCCCAGCTTACTTTAGGATTTGCTACATCTAGAAAATTGGTACTTTGTGGTCAATATAGTCATCAAAAGAATCGTTTTAATCCTTGCTAAAGCTGTAGGCAGACTCGGAATACATCGTGAAGCATCAGACGTAACACAGACAATAACTCATCAATTAGACAGGATAAAGAAGGTCAACCCGAGTGGTCACAATAGAGAAGCAAGAAAGATACATGATTCGTAGCAAGCGTTATACCAAAACACCATATAGACTGAACACCAGTGTCCAAAACGAGACAAACGCCAAGAACCAAGCAAATAGGTATACTTATTGGGGCCAAACCCAGGCCAAAGAACAGCGCCACTGAACCAGATGCAGATGCAGATGTAAAGAATGACGAGAAGATAGATCAAAGAACAGACTTGGTGCTGTCAGTGGTGTTCTTGTGATCCCGGTGCTGGGTTTCAGCAGCCCGGGGAGCAATAACGTCCAAAACAGAAGCAATGGAGGAAGTGGCAAGGCTGTGCTGACTCTGCACAAGAGGTGAAGAAGGCTTCTTGAACTCGGGCGTGTGCTCTTCATCATCATAGATGATTGTGTACGAGAAGGCATTGCAATCTTCGGCATAGTATTCGGCAGCATTGAGCTCACCGAGCGGAGCACGGGGCTCATCCATCTTTGGTGACTTGCGAGCTGCGGCAGGGATAGTGGCAGTACACTGGCGAGCGCGGGGGAGTTCGAGGCCCAGTTCATGAGGGGGGATGTTCTCCTTTCCACGGGGACAGACGTCGGATTTCCCCTCGTCGTCGCTGATATCCAGGACAGTGGTCGAGTGTTGCATCAGGTTCGTCATTTCCTCCTGCTCAGTGTCGACGTGGATATCGAAGTACCACGAGCCCGGGGCCTTGGGGGCAGGTGCCGGATTGCGAGTTGTGGATTGGGCAAGGGCGGAGGCAAGAGAGAAGGGACGAGCCACACCGCGCTTGCTATATTGCTCTGAACGGGGCTTGGCGATGAGCGGACGGCGAGTGGCTGACTTGCTTGACTTGGGTGGTGGGGAGCGACCAGCGGGCTTGAGGATGGGAGCTGATTTGGGAGTTGTAATTGAGGAGATCTTCGAGGGTGTTGAGAGGGGGGGGAAGATATTGATGCGGGTGGAAAGAGCCATGCGGGATGTTTTGACCGGCTTGGACGCGCTCTTGTCCTCGTCGTCCTCTAAGGCACGCTTGCGTTTTGTGGAGAAGCTGGCTGGATTGATATTCTCTGAATCGGTGTCGATGAAGATAGAGCTCTTCATTGGGGTGGACCTCCTAGACATGGCACCTGGTTTGGATTGTGAGCTAGACCATCTCGGGAACATCAAACCATGGGTCATCACATACCATTTTGCTGGTTCTGACGATTAAGTTTCGAGCGCATCGACGGCATCGTGTCCAAACAGCCCAAAGGCTGACGAGTAGGAGTCATAGTGAGAGTGGCCATGGTGAAGGAAGAAGGGATGTTTTGTTTTGGTCAGCGCCAAGTGGGGGAGGATTGGCGGTCTACAATAGGCACTAGACAGGCCGATCGCAAGACTCGAAGAGAGGGTAATTGTACAAGACAGAAAAATCAAAAGAAAGGAGACTGAACGACTGAATGGTTGAATGATAGGAATTGGTCGGATGAAATTCGGATAAATGAAGGAATGGGTAGGATATGGTCGACTACACCGCTGAGAAAGAGAACGAGGGATGATTCGGGGTAAAAGACGTGCAGCGATGAGGTAGATATAATAACTTGGGACGTTAAGAGCTTGTGATTAGAGGCAAGGAGCAATGGACATGAGGAGTCACAAATGGAGGGCGAAGGGAACTATTTCAAGGACTGCATACTCCGTAAAGCGCGTCGCGTTTTGTGGAGGCCGGATACCAATTCGAAAAGTGGCGTTTATGCAATTCCCAGCACAATCCAATTGAGGGGTTTCATTCTTCGATGTCTCGTGTCTCGTGTGGGAACAATGGTAATGTGCAGATCACTACGCGCTTTTCCGTATACATACTCTATGTGCTTTCATATCACAGTGCCTCTGTCCTACAAAGTTGTATACAATTAATTCTTCTAATTTCCCTAGCATTGCCCGTACAAGTAAATCATTACCAAAATCACCGGGGCAAAGGTCAAAAGGTCAATTCCCCCCCGCTGAACACTGCATGTCGCGTATCCCTTGGACGCGTCGGTCAGCAGCCTAAGTACCCGGTACTCGGCATCCCGCCACTAGCGCATACAGCGCGTAAGTACCGAATACCTTCACGTCCTCCACGTCTTGTAACTTCGCGCGACTTCGCGTTCATGTCCCTTCCTTGCGCACTGTTCGCTCATTCGTGCCGAACAGCGTCTACGATTCCGCTAATAGTATGTTGCATGAAATGTCTAATGAAACTTTGCCAACACATCTGTCTCCATTGGCTATCCCCCGTCCAGACTGAGGTTACCAGATGAAACCATGCGTGCCGAGGCCGATCGGGGCTGCTGCTGTTTGAAGTGAATGTGGGACATTCTGCGGAGTTCCGTCTCAAGGTTGGGTTTGGAGGTGTCTGGGGGTGTCGCGCACTCAAGGCTGGGGAATGTACTCTGGGCTGGCTATCCAGGTGGTTCAAAGTAGGAAGCCCCTGAAGGCTGTTCCAAGGCGTAGAATGATGGAGGGTTATTAATAGGGATATTACATGGATAGGTTTTCCAAGGTTTGATGGCACCTGCGCCCCCTGTTCCTCGTGGGCTCGGACTATTCCCTTCGGCGGATTGATCCTTGTTGCATCCTTCCCGAAAGCCGAGAGCCTATCCTTTGTGCCATCGACGTGCAATCACGTCGGCATTCTACTACAGGCGAGAAGTGCCGACCAGAATATTCCATATAGTCCGTAGCCTCTCGTGATATAATAATGTACATGACCGCAGATTTGCGGTGTCAATTTCCTCAGATCTCATCCTCAAAAGGAATGCTATCCATGGCACCCTGACGTTCCACAGCCCGAGCCGAGGCGCGCGCAGCCAAACGCATCGCCTCATCCATGACAGTCTTGTACCGGTATGCCTTCTCATCATCCGCAACATCCTGGCCGGCCTTGCCTTCCGCACGACGCTGCTCACGCCACCGCGCCACCCTGACGGCGTAGGCCCCAACAAATGTATCACCCGCAGCAGTAGTATCCAAGACCCGAGAGACAGCGGCGGCTGGAATCTTATTGGAGAAGCGCTGTACTCCATCACTGGGTCCAGACGAGCCGCCATCTGCGGCACTGTACCAAACACCCTTCGCCCCAAACGTGATAAGGATGTAGGTGACACCCAATTTGTGGAAATACCGAGCGACCTTTTCCTTGCTATCTAAGCCCTCTGCGTCCGGAACCGTGTGAAGCAGTTGCTCCACAGGTGGAGTCATCAGCTCAGCCTCCGTCTCGTTCAGGATCAAATGGTCGACAGCAGCGTATACATCCTCGGGTAAGCCACCAAGCGGCGCAGGTGCCGGGTTAAGCATAACATCCGGGCCGCACTCAATGCCGCGTTTGCCATCAGCACGAGCCTTGGCCTTGTAAGCAGCGATCTCACGTAGTGTCCCGACCACCGTGTCGACCGGGATCTCGCCCTGCATAACGATAACATCGGGCACGGGTGCCGCTAGCGCCATTCCCAGCACCTCCGGGGTAGGCTGCATGCCATCGTAATTTGCACCGGGCGAGAAGAGGATGCGGTTCTCGCCGCCGGCTGATGAGTCCACGATGATCACCGCCACACCCGTGTATGCGTTCTCGATGACTTTGACTCGTGATGGGTCGACTCCAGACCTCTCAAGGGTCGGCTTAAGCAAGGCGGAAAAGTGACCGTCCAGAGCCCCTACTGCGCCCATCATCTCGACATTGACGTCGCTTGTGGAGTTCGTGGTGCCAGTTGACTTGGCTCGGGACATGCGTCCGCATGCGACGGCTTGGTTTGCGCCCTTGCCGCCCGCGCTGGTGAAGTAGGATGAGGAAGTTATCGTTTCGCCTGGGTTTGGGAATCGGGGTGTAACTGAGACCATGTCCGTGTTGAGGGATCCAATGACTCGGATAAGAGGTGCCATGATGGAGAAGGTGTTTCAGTTCGGTACGTGGATCGTAGGTCGGGGGGCTGGTTGTGTCTTTGGGTCGGGCTGGGGATGTGGAGAGTGTTGGAGGGGTGTAAGTGGGAGAAGACGTAAATCCTGCAGATTCCAGAGCTGCAGGTACACAATGCAGGGGAGGAATGACAGTCCAAAACTTTCCGGTCGGGTCATTGAGAGAGAAAAGGCCTGAAGTGGAAAAGGAATCGGAATGACGTCTGGGCCGGGGGAGATGTGGGGCCGACAGACACAGTTCCGTGGATCCGATCTACGATGTACAGCCACGTCTATTTTGACAACGTTACGTGTCTAGAACATTCAACAATGGCATCTTCCTCTAACCAAAAATCCGTTGACATTAATTTTACAGTATAATAGTACTAGTGAAGATTTATCACTTGTGTCGCAAGTGAAAAGCGAAGAGGGGGAGAAACTGGGAGGACCGAACCTAGTGATGCCAGGTATCTCCAACTGCTGAGCGTGCTGTTGAAGCCCATGTTCAGGCTATTGTCGAAGCTTTTGTCGAGGCTGTTAGTTGTTTGTTGCTACACGATGCAGGCTCACTGACAACCTTGTTCCTTCATCAACCTCTAGCTCAACAATCTTATTTCGCCTCATGCCAATTGTTTCTCTTTAAATCTCGAACTACGAGAGCATCCTTGAACTGCTCAGCAGATCAATCCATCGGTCTCCCCCAAACTAAGGAAAGAAAGAAAGAAGGGCATCGAGAGCAAGAAGTTCTCTTGGGAGCTCGGACACGAATTGGTTGGATGCGTCTTCCTGTTAAGGGCCACTTGAATTGGGATACTGTCAATAAGATCCCAAACTCCCTGTGCCTAAACAAGTCCGCAAACGACTTGTAGACTTTTGTGATGCCTCAATCCGAATGTTATGGCCGAAAAGCTTTACCTGTTCGAAATAGGAAGGCAAGGACGAATACTATCCGCTGAGTATTGAGGACAGCGCCTCCGTTGAACTCTTCCATGCGCTCTGGAGTTGGCAATTGGCGACGTAAACAAGGAACGTGTCACTATCGCGCAAAATCTCCCTACGGACAAGGCGCTTTTCCAACAGCATTTGGGATAGAGCATATCCCACCTCCATGGAATGACTAAGGAAGTCTTCACAAGCGGTTCTGCTGGCAGCTCGGACACGAGTTTTCTGGCTATGTCTCCAACGTCGAGGGCGCTCTCGCTTTAGATTTTGCCAAGGACATACTCAAACACCCTGTTCTAGACACGGTAGTGAAACGGCTTGTGTACTTCAGTGATGCGTCTCAGCGTGCCTTATGCGGTCCAGTCGGTATTGTCTGGCCAGTGCGTCTAACCTCCTCCGTTTGGGAGGGAAAGGGCGTGTATTATCAGATAAGCACTGGCGACAGTTCTATTCTGGACATGTTTGGGATTGTCTGCAGCCTTGAAATGGCAATTCACGATATCAGAAAGGAACGGGAAACTGTCGCAAAAACGCTCCCACATACTACCTCGCGACCCTACACAATGACGAAGGAGGTCTTTGTCTTTACCGATCAAGCTGAGGCGCTGAGGCGCATTCGTGGAGACATAGCTTTACGACCCTACGAACGATATCGCTCACCAGTTGGACACAATTAGTCGGCACTCAAAAGCACTGCATAGGCTCGGTGTGCATATCGAGCTCCACTTGAGCCCAGGCCATTCTGGGGTTCCAGGAAACGAAGCTGCTCATACACTGGCATCCCAGTGACAGCGGCCTTGCCTCCTCCCACCACCACAGACCCATTTGCCACAGTAGGCTACCAAGTGCTTCCGGGGCTGTAATTTTGTGGTCTATTAGGGGCTAGGAATCTTGTAGAAATATGCAGCTTTCGCTCGGATAAGGACACTGTTGTGCTGTTATGTACATAGTATGTATGATTGAGATGTCAATAAAAGATTAATGGCAAAACACAATAATCACCTAATATAACACTAGCTTCCCATTCACTTGATACCTAATTCATTTCATTTCTAACTCACTTCATCATGTTCACTTCGTATCTAATTGTTGACTTGACATCTGATTTACAGTTTACTTTATATCTGGTTTGCTTCATATCTGGTTAATCCTAGCATAATAATATAAAGCCTCACTAGGCCACAAACAGGATCCTGGGCTCTTGCTATTACGTATCACTCCCGACTGTCAATCGTAATCAGCTCCAATGTACTGACACATGCATGTATAAATTCAGCAGTTGTAATCGCGACGCAGATTCGAACGGATTATGCTACACGCCTACATTATGGTAGAACGGGTGCACAATTTAAATTTACACAAACGTATCGATATTGACTTGCAAGTAGGAGAAAAAGGTAAAGTCTCACCCAGTAGCGGACAGTGGAAATAA